CCTCCCACTCTCTCTGAATATCAATGGAGCCCAGCTGGTGTGGCTCAGTTGGTTGAGCATCATCCCATGCACCAGGAGTTTGCTGGTTTGATTCCTGGACAGGACACATGCCCCATTTGTGAGCTCAATCCCCAGTAGGGGGCGTGCATGAGGTAGCCAATGGATGTTTCTCTCTCTCCCTCTCCCTTCCTCTCCCTGAAATCCATATATATATATATATATATATATATTCAATGGAAAAAAATATACTCAGGTGAGGATTAACAAACAAACAAACAAGCCCTGGCCAGTTTGGCTCAGCGGTTAGAGCGTTGGCCTGCGGTCTGGAGAGACCCGGGTTCGGTTCCCGCTAAGGGCACGTACTTCGGTTGCAGTTTGTCCCCGGCCCTGGTTGGTCGTGCGGGTGGCAGCCACTCGATGTGTCCCTTCACGTCGATGTTTCTCTCTCTCTCTTCCTCTCTTTCCCTCCCATTCTATCTGTACAAAAAATGGAAAAATATCCTCGGGTGAGGATAAAAAAAAAAAAAACAAACAAACAAACAAACAAAAAGACAAGTTTCCCTTCAACATAATTCTTGATAAACAGCTAATGTAACCTGAATGCCAATTCCCAGACAGGTTGCTTCCAGAATCTGTTTCTGAATTTGTGATTCAACCGCCCAAATAAATGTTTACATTGCCTGGCAGCCTTACTGTTTTCTCTCTGTCAACACTTTAAAACATCTCTAGGATACTTATAATAACTAATACAATATAAATGCTATAAATAGTTATTATACTGTATTGTTTAGGGAATAAGGACAAGAAAAAAACATGTACATGTTCAATACAGATGCACCATCACAGGCCTAACTACATAGTACACATCCCCAACATAACTTTTTTTCAAATATTTTTGATCCACTATTGGTTGAATCTATCAATGCAAAACCCTCAGATACAGAAGGAAGGCTGTAGTTATCATTTAAATTTGTTTATTTGTGAGATGGCATGTGAGGTCCCTGTCCCTGTGAGAGCAGTAGCATTCGATTTCTTGGTTTTTATATCCTTATTTCCCATAACAGCACCTGACAGGTGGTGGATATTTAATGGTAAGTCAAGTAATTAATGAATGAGTTTCATTGTCCTGTATTTACAGGCAATTTATATTTTCTATTCTGTGAACTGTTTTTCCATGGCCTTGCCCAATGAAATGTTAGCAACACTTTTTTAACAATAAATATAGCAAACTGATGTCCTATGCAGCTTCTTGTTCAAACTTTGACAGAGGCATATCGTTAAAAAACAGCTAAATATAAAGTTAAGAAAATGAAAAGTGAATTCGACACGGTGTAAATATATAGCGTTAGACGTTGACCTTGACCCGGGGAGAATTCCTTTGCGATAAGTATGGATTTCGACGAGAAGTCCACTTGAGGTAGCATGAGACCAGGAAGGGCCAGGAAGAGGGCAGGAGTTCTCATCAGAGAAATTCATTCTACAGAGGAACTTGCGCAAGTGCTCCCCAAATATATTCGTTCATTTACTCAAAAACTCTGACTCGAGGGCCCACTCTGAGCCAGGCCCTACGCCAGAGCTGGGGCCATGGCAGCGAGCAGGGAGGCCAGGTCAGGTGCAGGCCCCACCGTCTGCAGACTGCTAAGGCACTGTTTACAGGCATAAAACAAAACACTGAAAGCAACCTGAATATCCACCATTAGCAACCCATTCTTAAACTGTAGTGAAATACTGTGTAAATTTTTATGCGTACTGACTATAAAAATCATATGTTCCAAGGAAACCTCATTTCGAGAACCGTATATAGTATGGGTCCAGCTGCGTTTAAAGAAAGGGGCTTCTACCTTTCATTTTATACACTGCAGAACTGCTTATTTACAGCAAGCTTGGTGTAACCTTTATTAGAATAAAAAGAAAAGTAATGGCTTGGTCTCCACATAGTAGCCATAAACAAAATATTTCTCCTCTGACTGATTTAGGGGGACGGAGCATGTGCTCCTCCTCGTAAGCAAACAGTAAGTTCAAACGACTAAATCAACTAAACTGCCACATTCAAATTACCAAACGCCACAGTGGGAGTGGGGTGTGGTTTCTTGTTGGTTTATTTGGGTTGCCTACCCATCTGTCAATTGTTTAAAACTCTGTTAACCGCACAAAGTAGGTTTGAGCTAGGCACTCTCACAACTCTTGGTGGAAAAGGATATGGTTCTAGTATTCATTTTAACTGGTTTTTACAATTTATTTTATTTTATTTTTTGAAGGTAGTAGACCTTTATTTTATTTTTTTTAATTTATTTATTTTTTTATTAATTAATTTTTGTTACAGATGTTTCTCCTTTTTCACCAATTCCCCCCTCCCCCTCCCTCCCAGCCCTGTCCCCAGTTTGTTGTCCATGTCCACTGTTCATGCATATATGCATATAAGTTCTGTGGTTTATCTCTCCCCCAACACCCCCACAATTTATTTTTAAAAGTATAGTCCTTCATTTCTCATTTTGTCTACAGCAATTTGGCAACATGTGTCAGTAGCCTTAAAAAGTGCTCCCATCATTTCACCTAGCAAATATAATGCTAAAAAACCTGCCAAGGAATAATCATCAATCCAGTCACTCATACACACACACACACACACAAAAGTACTTATGGCAGAAATTTTTTCGACATGGCTATGAACCTATAAGCAAAGTTACCAATGTTGAAAATAGTCAGCTGAAGTCAGAATCCAATTAATGTCTGGTATAGTTGATTTAATGTCATGATATGAGTTTTAAATTATTTGATGTTTTTCCATGAAGCTTTCCGGTTCCGGAATGCCCATGGAATACATCCCTTATCTCTAACATTAGAAAACGTCACACTGCTCACATGTGACACCCTGTGCCGACAGAGCAGTATTTAAGGAGGATTATCCAAAGGATATACAAGGGACTCAGACCCGTCCACCACCGCCTCTCCTGCCTGTAGCCTAACTCTGCCGTCCAGGTGGAGGGAATGCAAAAGCCTCCGCTGAGCCTTGGTTAAATGAACACACAGGGCACGGAAAACTCTCCTTTCTCCAGGCACAACTATTTATGTTGGACATGAATGACCAGGTAGTGCTGGTGGAACAGGTCTGTACCCATCCGTCACCTGTGGGGGTTCTTAAAACCCAGGCTTTTATTCTAGCCTTGGGAGATGAGCCGATGCGCTGAGCCAGGAGGAGGGGCCACATTTCACAGGCCCCATCCCTGCACAGAAACTAAGTTGTGAAATTAAGTAACAGGTTTTTTCTTACTTACCCCTGCCATATTTTGTGCTATTTCAACACCATGCCCCCCTCCCTTGTCTTCAGCCAAAATGCTCCCCTTGATTTCCCCCAGCTGCAAGACTGCCCCCCTCAATCCTCTCCATCTCCCCAGTCTCGTGGCTGGTTTCTTGGACTTCTTTCCATCCTAAGCCTTACTCTCTTTTCACTCAACACACGCTTCCTGGGCAATTTCGGCCATTCCCATCGCTTCCATTATCACTGGATTATGGGTTGTCTCAGTACTTATGATGGACCCCTCAGGTTCTTTAAAACCTGCAAGAGGGAGATAGATTCATCTTTAAATCTGACTCAACCCAAACAACTAAAGAGTGTTTAGACCACGAGGGGTCCAGCTGAGAAAAAAAATTAGGAAGAGCTGAAGAAAGGGGAGGGATCCAGGACGAGTCCCAGCCTCAAAGCCTTGGAGGCACGGCGACCTCAACGGGGGCGCCCTCGGTAGGCGACGGTGCGTTTGCCTGGCTTGCTCTGACGGTCTGGGGCAGACAGGAATGCAGCTTGTCAGTCCTGTGCACTGTCTTCTAAGCTCCTGATTAAAATAGTTTAAAATCTGCCTTAGAAATGGAAATAATTTTGGAATCTCAGCAAGGCAGTCGAGGCTGGAGGGCGTGGGTGGACTAATGAAAGGACCGAGGCCTGCTTTGGACCCCGCTCAGCGGGCACACTCCTGCCAGCCCTCTGGCTCCTCCTGTTTCTGCAGCGGCTAAGTCCCGGCATTTCCGGGCCAGGGCTAACTGCAAACAGTCTATCCATGTATCACCGAGTCTGCACTCTTCCTCGTCTGACTCCGTGCCTCATATTTAGCTTCAGAAAACATGGTCACCATAACTCGGTTTCTTTGTTTCTGAGACTTCCCAGGAGAGAAATCTAGCTGCCGAACATCTATTCTGCTGTAGTGGCTTCCTTCTCCCCCATGTTAACCAAAACTTAACCTCGGCAAAGCACTCAGGCTTCTAATGCCCTCGCTCCGTGACTGCTTCGTGTGTATTAGAGTGTGCATTTATCTACGTATTCATTTCATTGGATTGAGCTCATGCTCGAGCATATTTTTTTTTTTAATCCTCACCGGAGGACATTTTTCTATTTTTTGTTCAGGTAGAGTGGGAGGGAGAGAGAGGAACAGAGAGAGAGAGAGAAACATCGATGCGAAAGTAACACATCGAGTGGCTGCCACCCGCACAACCGACCAGGGCCGGGGACAAACTGCAACCGACGTACGTGCCCTCAGCGGGAACCGAACCCGGGTCTCTCAGGACCGCAGGCCGACGCTCTAACCGCTGAGCCAAACTGGCCAGGGCCTCGGGCATATTTTTTAAGTGGTAGTTGAGCAAGTCGATCTTGTAGAATGCAATCAGAAAACAACGTGATTCTTTCCTTCAGACGTGTTCTATGGGTGAGCTGTCCCCTGGACCTGGATGTGAGCTAGGGCAGATGGCAACGCTCTAGGATAATCAAAGAGCCTCTGGCTGCCTCCAGTCCCCAGAAAAGTCTCACTTCAGCCATCAAAATGTCCAGTCTTATGCAACTGAACTGAAGTTTCTCCCCTCATCAAGCTTGAACCTGCCATTGTAGGAAACCCAGGGTAGGAAAAAGAAATGGATTGAGCCTTTCCTCCACCCCCTTCCTCTCCTCACTCCCCAGGCTTCCTCTGGCCTCTCTGGTAGGAAAGAAAGGAGGATACAGGGTAGGGCAGCCTTACTTGGCTAGCTCCAGCTCCTACAGCATCGGTCCCCTCTGGCCACGGCAGATGTTCACGGCTCAGGCTCTCTGGGTGCTTTTATGAGTTCTTAGGAAGCCCCTGCTGGAATACTGGGAGTTCTTCCTGGGATTTGGGCCACTGTTGCTTCTGTTATTTCCCTCAGACCCTGGGAATTCAGGGAAATACACTCATTACTTCGGAATGTCATTTGGGGCGGATTGGAAATGACTCCAGGAGCAAAGGGATGAGTCCCAGGACAAAGCCCATAGGGTGGTGAGCAGAGCGTGGGCAAGATTTCAGCCCCCTCCCCACCCCAGGGAGGGCTCTCGTGCAGGACACAATTTGCACCAGCTCCGCAGTAGCCTTGCCCATACCCAGAGCCTCTCGTGGCATCAGACGTCAGTCCCGGTGCACTGCAAACTCCCGGGGACAAGCTCCCTGCCAGGTGTCCTGGAAGCTCCTCTCACAAGGACTGACAGGAGGGCAAACTCCCCAGCCTCCTGGGAGACCCCTGAGACATGCTCATTTCTTGTCCCTAACCCCGGCCTCTCTGGCCTCTTCGCCTCAGCCCTTATTTCCCTTGGAGTGGTGACGGGTCTCTGTGTTGCAAGCTCAGGTTTGGTTCGGGGTTTGTTTTGTGTTTTTACTTGTTTGTGTTATCACATCCTGTGTAAGGTCACTAGTTTGGAACCTCTCTGCAGAATATGGAGTCTGTGGCCAATTACTGTGTTCCCCGCCTCTGAACCTCAGCTGACACTAGAGCGGAAAAGGCCATGTTTGAACATCCTGCTATATATTATTAATTCCATTTTGACCAAGGCCTCTTAACTCACAAAACCTTTAAAAAAATAAAATAAAAATCTGGTGTTCAGAGAGGCTTTGCCCTTCTCAGCTTTCTAAAACGACTAAATAGATTTCCCAGAGAGCAGATGCTGAGGTTTCCTCGCGTGAACGAATTAGCACGACACGAGAACATGTTTACCAGCACGATGAACGGAAAACAAACTCTAACGAAATGTACCGAGGTTGTCTCGGAATAGCGAGCCTGGGAGACTGTTCTCTGCTTCCTCTTCTTCTCTGTTTTGTGACATGTGCCAGCTTTCCTTCAGCGAGCCCAGACTGGTTCACACACCTTCATCCGCAATTCCAAAATTCAAAGAGCTATGGGGAAAATAATAAAAGTAAGTAAATAAAGCTCTGAAAACTAAGGCTTATTGTCCTAATTAATTCTACATAATCAATTTAACTTGGACTGAAGAAAGGCTACTTAAAGCCTTTATCTCAGTGTGAATTTTCAAATACTTGACTGGAGAAACAACACCGTGTCGCTTACAGGGAGCCTCCCCAGACCCTACTGGGCGTGTTATGTAATAAACAGTATATGCCCAATACCACCTTCTAAAATCCAGAAATAGTTCTGAATTCCATAACACATTAGTCCCTAAAGGTTTCAGGTAAGTGCTTATATAAGCCTTCTATGAAGAAAAAAGAATATCAAACTTTGCTATTATTTTTCTTGTTCTACTAGCTTCTCATTCATGATAACAAACTCATGTCTGCCTCCAGTCCTTGTACAAGCTACTTCTCCACCACCTTGGCTCTTTCTGCACTTTCAGCAAAGTCAAGGTTAGACTGTGCCTCCTACAGGTGGGGTTTCCTGGTTAATCCAATATCTTTCTTCACCTGAATATCCAGTCCAGAATTGGAACACTTGTTTTCCCAGGTCACACTAGTTTGGGCCTTAAAGGACACAGTAACTTATAATGTAGTGGCAGCTCACCCAGCTGTCATTGTGGGACTTCAGCCCCTTCCCAAGACCGTCCCTTCCCATTTCTTCTAGGAGTTCCTGGATCAGGTTCAGCAAGCTTCTGCCACCTGCCTTTCATGCACCCACACTCACCTTCAAAACACACCATAAATATGGTGCATGGATCAAAGACTCTCTTTCCTAATGAACACTTCAAAACGGTCCTCCACCCAGAACACAAACTAGAAGAATTGGGTGGGGGAGGGGGAGGCTCGAATTTGCAGGTTCTCTCTACATGGTCCTTATGTGCACGAAATTTGAGAATTACTGGTTTGAAGGTCTGCAGATCAAAGGCGGGTCATAAAATTTGCGAGATGAGATATGGTCTAATGAATGTCGATGACAGCTACAGCCTTTGACCATTCCTATAGGTGGTCATGTTACTGTGTACTGCATGAATCATCTTCATAATAACAGTTAATAATTTTCGGTCATCTTTGTCCAATCTTGACCCTTGTTTAATAATTCAGTGTTTTCTTCACCATTTAAAAAATATTTTTAAACCACACACCTATCTCGTGAATTTTTTCAGGAATAGTCTTCTGCCCCGTCTGGCTCCTCCTACTTCTCTCCTTTCACCCTCTTTCCTTTTTTCTCTTCTTTCACCTTCCTCTCGGAAACAAAAAAACTCCTCTCCCTTTCTCCTGCAGAACAATTTCGGATCTTTTGGTACTTCGAGCATAACCTAAGCTATAATTAAGGGTGCAGAATGGGATACACTAAGCTCCATCTGTACAAAAATCACTGCTACAGGAATCCCATGATGGTTTCACATAGTCTCTTGCTTCTGCATCTCTGTTGTTACCTGAACAGATGCTGTAAAATGCCTTAGTCAATACTACTACCATCATCTGAAGGGCATTGTGGGCTGAATGGTGGCCCACACTATGTATCCACCTGGAACCTGTCAATGTGACCTGTGTAGATGTATAAGGATCTCAAGATGAGATCATCCCAGGTTATCTGGAGGGGCCTACGTGCAATGAGAAGCATCCTAAAAAGAAGAGTAAAAGTCACAAAAAATTGGAGTGGTTCCCTAAAGAGATTTGTTTGTATTTTTTAAGAGTTTCTTTATATAGTAAGGATGGAGAAGAATTTTTTTTTTCTTTTTATAAATTCAACACAGCATGATAATCTCTGTAGAAAGTAGAGAGGAACTATGATGCAAAAGGTCCAGGGGCTCCACAGGAGTTACAGAGACTGCTGCAGAAAAAGCCAAAATCAGCTCTGCAGGGCTGAAATGGATCACCTTGTTAACCCACTTCTTTTGTTATTTAGGGAAAATGGCTAGTCCACTTATTGCTTCCTATTCTGCCAGCAAGTTTGCTCTCGATGGGTTTTTCTCCTCCATCAGAAAGGAATACTTGGTGGCCAAAGTCAATGTGTCGATCACTCTATGTATCCTCGGCCTCATAAACACAGGTAAGGTCAAGAGATTGGAATAAATGGCCTGCAGATGGATTGTCTGCCTTACCTCTGTGGATAAGGAAGATGCTGAACTCCCTGGTTCATGTTTAATGAGCTAAAAGCCAGCGAAAGCACGAGTCCTTGTTTAATAAAGCACCCCTGTCCCTAGCGAGCCTCTGACTGCTCTCCGATCCCCTTCTTTCCATTCTGACCACCAGATATGCTGAGTGACACCACACTCATCGCCTGATCCCGTTCTGACTCCTTCCATCCTCTTGGACTTGCAATGGCCATTACTTCCCTATGCGAGACTTACCAAATACAAGTTCGTTTTTCTTCATAATGTCACCAGTAATACGACATAGCAATATATGAACCCTTTGATAGGTTGCACTGAGAAAGACACAGCATTGTTTTCATCATATTCTTGTCAAATGGCATAACCTCATTCCACTTATAAGAGAACAATGGGCAAACCCATGAGTGACAAGGAAAGACTGAAGAACTGTCACAGATTGGAGGGAAAATAAGACAAATTGAATACTAAGTGAAATCCTGGATAAGATCCTAGAATATAAAAAGGGTATTAGTGGAAAAAAGTAAAGTCTATAGTTTAGTTAGTGACATTGTTATAATGATGCATATCTGCTCTTGATAACTGCACAGTGGTTGTGTATGATATTATGATTAGGGGAAGTAGGGTGAAGGATACAAGGGAATACTTTGCATAATTTTTATAACTTCTCTGTAAGTGCAGATGCAAGTTTATCTAAAACATGTGGCAGGTATAATAAGAAACCTTCATGTAAAGAGTACTGAGTAAATTGAGTAGCAGTGACAGAAGAGAGAGAGAGAGACAGGTGCACGGTGAAACGAGAAAGGAATAGAGAGACACAGAAGCTGTGCAAGAAGAACATGAAAATCTAGGAGATTTTCTTTCTAAGTGAAAGTGCTTAGTGTTGACAAGGGAGCAAAGGCCTGGATTCTGTCCTCTTCCTTCTGCAAGCCCGTAAATCATCATCACACAGCACTCTGCTGTTGCCCACTGACACGTCCCATTTAGCTACCGGGTCATCATACAGCTTCTCTCTGTTCTGCTCGCCCGTGTTACTCCCTCACCCCCAACCAGAACACCCAAGAGAAGAACATGATTCAAACCTCTCAACTAATGAGCTCTAAGTGCCCCCCACCAAACTCCATTCAGGAAGACAGGGCCTGCATTAAGCCTCTCTGCCCAGCAGACCCTAAACATACTCAGTGCTGGCCATGTATTCCCTGCGGGGCCCGCGGGCCTCTCAGAGCACCGGCAAGGAGCCCCCCGTGGCTCAGCTGTTGGGGTCAGCAGGCCTTTCATCCTGTAGACTCTCCTAGTCTTGGATAACCCTACTCTTCTCTTATCATTTAACAGACTCAGCCATGAAGGCATCTTCTGGGGTATTCAACGCAGAGGCAGCTCCGAAGGAAGACTGTGCCCTGGAGATCATCAAAGGGGGCGCTCTGCGCCGAGAGGAAGTGTATTACAGCAAATTAGCATGGAGCAGCCTCCTGCTGAGAAATCCGGGAAGGACCATTCTGGAATACCTCAGCCTAAGATATTATAATAAGGACAAGTTTATAAACAACTAGAAACTTCCTTAGGGTTGTGCATGGTAAGGGTGCTTGGAACAGTTCTGCCGGATGTGTATCTAAGCTCCATCCATGAAGGCATAGCCCAGAGAGATAAATGAGCCTACCAGAGTTGCAAGTCATGCCTCACATCTCACAGTGTGAAGGAGTTCCTCTAACACTTGCACAGTTGACCTGTAATTATATCAAATGTCATAAATTGGCAGTATCTATGAGGTTTTGGGGGTTTCTGCTTTGTGTGTTAATTTCGTTCGTTAGATTCCACATATGAGTGAAATCATATGGTACTTGTCTTTCTCTGACTGGCTCGTTTCACTTAGCCTGTGCTCCGGGTCCATCTGTGCTGTAGCAAAGGGTAAGAATTCCTTCTTCTTGATGGGGATCGGCAGTTGTGAAATTGTTATTAACCACAGGTATAGTTACACGGTAGTTGTATCAAATGTACCTCATATATAATAATGTTATGATGCTTCCTATAATACTAGATACTATACAGGTCACATAAACTTTATAAATCACAACCAGTAATTGTAACTTTAGTTCACTCAGTATGGTTCCTTTAAAACCATAAACTATACAAGCAAAAGTTATCAATGTTCATTTATTTTGTGGTCTGAATCTTTTCATTGTTTTTGAATTGAAGAAATCACCCTACTCTTCAGTTGATGGACATAATATCTTCACTATTCTGCATATTTCAGATACTTTTTATTTTTATTATAATTTTTTAATCCTCACCCAAGGATATTTTTTCATTTATCTTCAGATAGAGCAGGAGAGAGGGAGGGAGGGAGGGAGAGAAAGAGAGAGAAACATCAATGTGAGAGAGACACATCACTTGGTTACTACCCGCACAAACCCTAACCCTTGGCCAGAATTGAACCCGGGACTCTTTGGTCCATGGGCCGACACTCTAACCCCTGAGCCAAACCAGCCAGGGAAATTGTTTTTTTAATGGAGATAACATGTCTTTTTTTTTTTTCCTTTATTGATTTTAGAAAGAGAGGAAGGGAGAGAGAGAGAGAGATTAAAACATCAATGAGAGAGAACATTTACTGGCTGCCTCCTGCATGCCCTCTACTGGGGATTTGGCCCACAACCTGGGCATGTGTCCTGACCGGGAATCAAACCAGCAACCTCTTGGTGCATGGGTCAATGCTCAACCACTGAGCCACACCGGCTGGGCTCAGATACTTTTTATTATTTTTTTATTGCTCCTCTAGGAAGGCGGACACCTGGGTTGAGTCACTAGGGAAAACCCACAGAGGTGGAGGTCTCTGGAAACTTGAGCCACAGAACCTATGCTTGTTTATTGCACTCAGAGTGTATCAGACATCAATACTTTACATGTGAATGCCAAATCATTTTTAGAAGTTTGGAGAGAAGGGGTTGGGGTTCAAATCCTGCCACTTACACATTTGGTCATTCATTCAGTCAACGAATATTTATTAAACACTAGCCAGGTATCGCCTGACTACAACCAAATAGGAAATAAGACACTAGCTATATTAACAACTCAACAAAACCCTAATTGGTCAGGTCTCAAACAGGTAAGAGATGGCAAATTGGATAATTTTAGTAGAGTTTAATAACAAGGGGATTATTTACAAAAGTGTGAGCAAGGTCAAAGGGCAATCACAAGAGATAGCATATCAGGGCTAGTTGCAACTGTTTCCAAGCCTAGGTCCACCACCATAGAGACAAGAGGAGAAAATGGTTATGAAAACCCATTTCCAACAGCTGGAGCCAAGCTCCAATGTCAGTACCAGCAGCACCACGGCTCTTGTCATCGAACAAGTGTGGAATCCAAAAGCAATTCCACTCTTATGGAGTGAGCGCCGTTGCATTTTTCTAATATTTCGAAGGGGAGAAGGAAGACTGAGTTTACATTCACTCAGTGCATCGTGTAAACTCCAAAGACCTCCCTTGGCCGTGTCTCTTTTAAAGTGCTTCCGGCTCCACCTCTGACCCTCTGAGAATTCAGCTTCCACCTTCCTTCCACCTCCTCATTGATCATATAAAGTGGATTCTGACTCTAACTTGAGACCATCCAGCAATTTTTTAAAAAATATAAAGATATTCTCTTACTGCAAGAATTATTGTACTAACTGTTAGGAAAATAAAAAATTCACGAAATATTACATTCGTGATTAGGGCTAACCCTAACCAAAAAAAAATTTTTTTAAACAACCTTAATATCTACCAGTGGGACATCAATATTATGAAATCATTCTATCATGATAAAAAGGAATGAGGTAGATTTATAACCTATACAAGTAAAATAACTCACATACAAGGATCTTCAGGATATACTGTTAAGTGTATAAAACAAGTTGCTTACAAACAGGTATAATATAATCCATTAATGTTGAGATTTTATACACATACACATATACATGCCTTCCCATCACACGCGTGTATGTGCGTGCGTGTGTGTGAAATAGGGAGGTTAACTGGCATAATTCACTGTTCTAAGACCTTACAAAATTAGGAGCTTCCCTCTGAGGAGCAGACCTATGATTCTTGTAACGGCACTGTTATCAGTTGAAATGTGTCCCCAAAAGTTGTAAGTTGAAGTCCTAATCCCCAGTACTTCAGGAAAAACATTTACTTCATTCCCAGATCAGCGTAGCAAAGGGTGGCTCAAAGGCCATGACCTGGAGGCGTCCGGAGGCCTGATCACGTGCGTGTCTGGTGCCTGAACTGGAAAAGCTTGACCAGCTGGAGCTTGGAACACTTACTAGCTCCTCGGGCATCGCTAGCTTTGCATGTCCTCTCCACACGCTCTCTCAGAGCAGTGGCTTCAGGGTTGCTGGACTTCTTTTTGTTTTTTGTTTTTTTTTCCTTTAGTGATTTTAGAGAGAGAGGAAGGGGGAGGGAGAGACAGATAGAAACATTGATGAGAGACAACACTGATTGGCGCCTCCTGCATGCTCCCCACTGCCACAACCTGGGCATGTGCCCTGACCAGGAATCGAACTGGTGACCTTTTGGTGCACGAGCTGTCGCTCAACCACTGAGCCACACTGGCCGGGCTTTTTATTTTTTTAATATGCTTTTATTGATTTTTGAGAGAGAGGAAGGAAGAGAGCAGGAGAGATAGAAACACCAATGAAGGAGAAACATCAATGAGGGAGAAACATCGACTGGCTGCCTCCCACACGCCCCCTATTAGGGATGGCGCCTGCAGCCTGGGCATGTGCCCTGACTGGGAATCCACCTAGCGACTCTTGGTACATGGGACAATGCTCAATCCACTGAGCCACACCAGCTGGGCTGCTGGACTTCTTATGTGTGGTTCAAGGCTCCAAAGGCACATGTCCCAAGAGAAGCCAGGCAGAAGCTGTGTTGCTTTTTTTTTTTAATCCTCACCGGAGGACATTTTTCATTTTTTGTTCAGATAGAGTGGGAGGGAGAGAGAAGAAGAGAGAGAAACATCGATGTGAAAGGGACACATCGAGTGGCTGCCACCTGCATGACCAACCAGGGCCGGGGACAAACTGCAACCGAGGTATGTGCCCTTAGCGGGAACCGAACCCAGGTCTCTCTAGACCTCAGGCCGACACTCTAACCGCTGAGCCAAACTGGCCAGGGCTGGATTGCTTTTTATGACAAACCCTATGCTGTTGGTTGAAGCAGTTAGGAAGATTCTCCTCAATTCAAAGGACAGGGGAAAACAGACCCCACCTCTTGGTAGAGGACTGGCGTGTTACATCGGAAGAACATGTGGGATGGGGTACATAGTGGGGTAGCCACCCTTGGAAAACAGCACCCGCCATAAACCCCCGATTAGAGTGTTGGCTCCACGAGACAGGGTTTTGTCCACTTAGTCCAATGTCTCTCCAGACGCTGGAGGAGTGCCTGGCATGGAGGTGCTGAGTCAGAGGTGACCATGAGGGTCTGGAGGCGAGCGATAGTGTCGTACCAGCCCCAGATTGAGGGGTTTCTGCAGGTGACACAAATGGGGAAGGAGCTGGGTCTGCAAGAGCTGGGCCTGCAGATCACCAACAGGACGGGGTGAGAGGCTGGTTAGAAGGGAAAGAGATGAGTGCTGAGACAGAAGCGTGATCAGATGGCAAACTTGCAGCCAAAGTCAGATTAAAATGAATTTCGCGTTTAGCCTGAACTTCTAAGGGTCTCCTTAGGCCCAAGGACATATTAAGACTTCAGTCCACGTTCAGTATGAATCCGCGGCTCCTGCGTCTGCTCGCTTATCACTCATCGGACTGCATGGGGAAAGTAAGAGGAGCTATGAAACAGTATTGACGTTAATAAACTAAACCGTTGCTCATTCCACGGGTGTGTTGATAAAAGTTTAACAACTGGCTCTGCAGCAAAAGGGAAAAGCCCTGATCTGTAATATTTGCTATGGCCATGATGTAAATACTCTCACCATGGTCAATTTCAAGCGAACAGCTGACATCACTGCATGTTTAGGAGAAGAGACGTGCACCAGCAGGTCTCTCAAACCCATACAGCCAGCGCCAGCATCACCACCCCGACTTTCTCTTTCCACAGTCCTGACAAGATTAGCTCTTCTTAAAGGCCCGGCTCAATACCTCACTCCTCCTCCAAGGACTGGAAAGTAACAGAACAGCTTGTTTCTACCCCTGCCAGGGAAAGAGGGGAGCAAGAGCTCCGGAAGGCAGGGGATGCTCACACCCTTCAACTCTCGAGGTGTCAGCGTCTTGCATGAAGTCAACAGCCTCAACTAAATCGCCAGCAAGTCCTCATATTGACCTTCATGGTTGCTAGCTCTGCACCCCTCTTGGGGTAACAGGAACCTACTGACAGTGGCTGACGCAAGCAGACATTTCTTTTCCTCCCATCACAAAATGTCTGGGAAGGACAGAGCAGGGCCTCAGGGAGCCAGGCTCCTTCTGTCTTTCCACTCAACGATCCATCCTCCTACTTGTCGCTATGAGGTCACAAGACATCTGCTCCACCTTCAGCATCACGCTGTGTTTCAGGCACGAGAAACAGGAAAGTGAAGGGCAAAAGATGCACACGCACACGATGACTCTGACCCCCGAGAAAGAGCCAACTGGGGACCCCTGTCCGAGACTTCAGCTCACATCCCATGGGCTAGACTCACATTGTGTGATCACCCCTAACTTTAAGAGAGGTTGAGAAATGAAGCACATTCCCACCCCCAAAAATAGGGTTCTGTTATGCAACCAGAAGTATTTGTCACAAACATAAGTCACGACAGAAACAAGGACATAGAGCAGAAGGACACAATTCCTAAAATGTCAGGCTCCTAACCATGGTGACAGGAGCCACTCCCACTGACCATCTGCAAGGTCCTAATTTGTCACCACAAACCACTTCCCACCCCATGCTGAAGAACATCTAGACTTCTCATCTCTTCAAATTTCCCTATAAGAAACAAATATTCTGTCTCTTCAGTAAAGAATTCATGCACAGCCCAGATATCAGGTAGCAAGGAGCCCGGAGGTGACCTCAGAGGCACAGACTCTCGTTGGCACAGGGGACAGTCATCCCAAGTGCTGGAGAGCTCCCGCTCAAGGACAGTTAGGTTTTGCCTTGCCACCCAAGTCTGTCCCCACGAGCTGTTCTCTTTGGCTGGTCTGCTCTGGGCCAGCATCTCAGACCCAAAATACCAAAGATTCTCCAGAGCAGTGGTCTCCGAAACTTTTGATCACACATTTCATCATTAAAAAATGATCAACCATATGTGTTTCTAATAAATATATAGTTACTATTTATATAATATATGCATGTAATATTTACTAACATAAAACATATGCAAAAAAATAAAGATCTTAAAAGGACAAGATAAACAATAAATAGAAATTCTAATATTTTCTCCCCACACTCCAGTAGTTCCTCTGACATGTCCACTTTAGAGACCGTGACTCTAAAGTTGTGTTAGAGAGGAAGTCAGGCTATGATATGCTGCTAACTAGTTCTTTGGGACCTAAGCTATAAGCCACCTCGGGGTGAGTTCCCATTCCCTGTTCAGGGTGCTACATGTACCCCTTCTGGCATTGCCCGCCATCCAAGGAATTTACCAAGAACCCACACTCTTCTTCATTAGTGCCCAGCTCAGAGCATTGGGTCACATATGCTAATCAAGTCCCAGAAGCATCCTTTAACTTCTCAAGGAGGTGTGCAAACCAAACTAATTTTCAGTTTCAAGGGAAAAGAAAAGGACATTGGCCAACCTGATACAGTGCTCATGATGTCTCACAGTGTGTCCAACAACTCTTCCCAGTGTCACCCCAGCACCCCTAGATCTCCACCCCACGTGAGTCACCAGTTGATAGAGAATGCCAAGGGAAGTCAGGATACCCCTTAACACTAAATCCTCCCTCCTCTCGGCAGGTCCTTACCAAAGTTTTCTAGTTCTTAGACTTACAAGTTGTCTAGTTAGACTTAGAATGTGTCTGAATTTCTCATTTTTAAAGGGAGGGGTGGTGCATGGGAACAGGGAAAATGTGAAAGTTGAAGGCAGATGAGAAACGAGACAATTTTCAAAAAGGTAAAACGGGACTTAGAACCCCAAGCTCACAAGGGGGAAAACCCAGGAGAAGAAAAATTAAGTCTGCACAGATCCAGAACATACCAGATCAGGACGTGGACCTAGAGCAACAGGTAGTGCCAAAGGGGGGAAATGGATTCTTAAAAACTAGAAAAGTGCCAGATGAAAACCCCCTGAGCTGGGGAGGCTTTGGAGATGGAGTTTCCGGGGAGTACATACGGAAACGGAAGTCAGAGGGGAGGGCACACTGGCCCATTGGTGACCTGGAACCAGAGGGTGGGATCTGAGGGACAGATCAAAAGACCCACACCCATGCGGCCTGAGGCCTGTAGGACCCAGAAAACGTCAGTGTTGGCATGTCTCTCCGTGCCTTGCTTGGCTGGCCTGGGACTGTTGAGTTGGTGGACATCCCTCCTGCCATCCTGGAACAGTCCTGTGGTACCCTGAATTCCAGGTACCAGTGGACGAAAAGCTATGCCATCCCAGAACCAAAGAGCAAAGCTGTTCTGGCCAAAGACTCTTCCTTTTCACTGGCCTCCTTTTCGCACTCGGGGTAGCAGTGCCACCTAGTGGCTGACGGTGGTGGTGTACTGCACTTCACAATCCTCCCCCCCCCCCTTTGGGTTGCACTTTATTTTATTTTATGTTTATTAATTTATTTTTGTTACAGATGTTTCTCCTTTTTTCCCCATTGACATCCTTCTCCCCATCCCTCCCACCCCGTCCCCGGCTTTGTTGTCCATGTCCATTGGTTATGCGTACATGCATATAAGTTCTGTGGTTTATCTCTTTCCCCCCCACCCCCTCTTCTGAGGGTTGTCAGTCTGTACCCTACTTCCATGTCTCTGGGTCTCCCTATTCCTCAGGCTGTTATGTTCATTATATTCCACAATTTCTTTTCCCAGTTCTTGCCCACGTTCTTTCTGCTCTACCACCAACTCTCACAGCATGCCTGCTTGTGAGTCACCGTTTAGGGTGGGTGAACAGACCCAGTGGAGGTGGGGCGGGACTCAGTCATCTGGTGGGGCCTTCTGGCTGTAGCAGCCAAACACGCCCTTGGCTTTGAGCTGTGGGGAGCTAGAGCTGTTCAATAGCGACAGCTAGTGGTCACCCTCAAAAGCAAGGTGCTCAGAGCCTCACAGGGAAAGAAAAGTCAAGGCATGGAGAAATACAGACAGATTCTTGGCTGAGTGGAGGCTGGTATACATCCAAACCCATTCTTGGCTAAAATGGTACGTAGAAAACCCAAGCTCTTTAAAAATGATGTGCAAGGACCGGGGCTACCTCCTAGTCACATCTTAGGCTACCTGCCCTGCGTTTGATTCTGGAGGACATGGAA